GCACCAGCCATGCCCGCACCCGGGCAGCGCCTGCGTCTGCCTCCTTGCGAGGGGACGCGGCTGTGCACAGGGTGCTCAGGGCAGCAAAACGGTTCCCTGGAAATCCAAAGCAAAGCCAGGGCGGCTCGCGGAGAGGCGGCAGGGCGGGCGCGTTACCTTCTGCTGCAGGGCTCTCTCCAGGGACTCCACCTTCATCTGCTCCTTGCGCAGCCCCGCGTGCAGCGCCGCGCTCTCTGCTTTGGCCTTCGTGCGCACCTGGGCGATCTCCTCGTTGGCTCTGCGGTGGGGTTTGGAGAGAAGGGGACAGCGGTCATGGGTGCAGGCAGGAGCACCGTGGTACAATGTTAGACCATGCAGCATCGGCAGAGCCCGGCTCCTGCTTGCCTGGATGCATCAGGGCAGGTTTAGACTAGACATTAGGAAAAAATTCTTCACAGAAAGGGCTGTCAGGCTCTGGAATGGGCTGCCCAGGGAGGTGGTCGAGTCCCCATCCCTGGAGGGATTTCAGAGTAGGGGAGATGAGGTGCTTAGGGACAGGGTTTAGTGGTGGGGTGGCAGGGTTAGGTTAAAGGTTGGACTCGATGATCTTAAAGGGCTTTTCCAACCAAAGTGATTCTATGAGTCTATGATCAGAGGTGGTTTTCCCATGTGGAAATGGGATGAGATGCATGAAAACTTATTTTCTGCAGAAACTGCATGAAATGGGATTAATTCAGCTCCTCCAAACTCCCAAATGGAAACTCCTTTCTGAGAGCGAAGCTAAACGTGTTCCTCACCCACTTCACTGGGGGCTACCATGCGTTGGCGAGCTACTGCTCATCAGCTGAGCCTCGGTAGCTGCACGACCCCTTCCCACGCCACAAACGTGAGCCCTCTGAAAGGTGGGGACTTGTAAAGTGGCTGTAAACAGACCATGAACCTCAGTTTCTCCATTAAAAAAAAAGCTAAGCAGAGATCAGCAAATCCATTCAGGGGTTTGTGCTGGCTTGCTTACAGCCTGAGGTGGTGGAAGGCAGCTTTTCACATCAACGAGCCCCAGGAAAGCCAGAGGGAGACACTGCCCTGCAAGGTCCTTAAGCACCCAGAAAGCGCCTCAGCACGCCCAGCAATCTCGTGCATGACCTTACTTGTCCAATTTTTCTTCTGCGTGGACTTTCAGGGCCTGATACCGCTGCTCTTCTTGCTTGACGCGGGTTAAATAATCCTGAGCACACTTCTTCAGAGCTTCTTCATTCTGGAAAAAAAAAAAGCATACATCCATCTGCATTGGGACCGAACACAGAGGTGTTGCTCCGATGGGGTGATATAGCCTGTCCTGAGTGTAAAAGAAAAAGGCTTTAAATGGAATCTGCTTCTCCCTTATGCTGGAGCCCCTTTTCCAGCTTGGCAGCATGGAAGAGACAGCGCGTAGATGGAGACGGGCTTTCTCGGGGCACGCTGCCCTGGAATCTGCTCCTCCCTTGGCTGCAGCTCTGCCTGGGACGGGAGAGCCCCGGGGCTGCAGCAGGGGACACAGCGGGGGCAACGCTGCAGGGGACGAGGTGGGGACAACGCCGCATGGGGACTCTGTGCCCAGGGAGCAAGAGTAAGCCAAGGTCAGGACCTTCTTAAAGCCTTCTAGGACGCCCTTCAGGTTTTCGTATCTCCGGAAGAGATCCGACAGGGACCTCTCCACTGAGTTTAGGTCTGCCAGAGCCTGGTCCTTTTCCATCGTGAGCTGCTGCAGGTTCTTCTGAGACGTCATGTTTGTCCTCTGCTCGTCCTCTGAGATGGAGAATAAACAGCGGGGACACGGTGACTCAGGGGGGGCGGCTGTGGCAGCCACCTCCCCGCCCCGCAGGCCCGGCCAGGCGACGGCACCTTACCTATCATCTGGGCAATGGTCTTCTCGTACTCAGCCACGATTTTCCTAGAAGGGAGGGAGAAGAAAAAGCAGGTAGGAGACAGCATTTGTTTCGCAGATGCACACCCACAGCGCAGCGGTGGCCCCTGCCCGTCACCGCTCCTCTATGCCGAGACCTCCCCGCAGCCGCGCGGGCCAGCGCCGCTCATGGGGTTTTATTCCTGCAACAAAGCAAGCGGCACAAGCACAAAGAGCACACGTCTGCTAACATGTCCCACCCTGACGACACCGAGCGCATCGCCCCGCTAACCCACTCCCGACAGGGAGCACACGGGGCTCTGTTCCTGATGATGCTGAGCACATCACCCCGTTACGGCCCCGCTAACCCACTCCCGACAGGGAGCACACGAAGCTCTGCCCTGTGCAGGCGGCCGCGCCGGGCGAAGGCTCCTACCTCATCTCTAAGACTTCCTGGCGGCTCTCTTCATATTTCTTCTTCCACTGGTTTGCTTCGATCTCCTTTGTGATTATCTAGGTTGCAGCAGAGAGGGGACCCTTGGGGCACGCTCTGGTGGTTCCCCTTGCTGCCCCGCGCCTGCGGCGTGCGGGGGACCGGACCCCCTGGACAGGGCAGAGCTGCCCCCACCCCCCCCATGGGGTCCGGCAAGGGACAGCCCCGGGGTGGCTGCCACACCGGGGTGCACCCGGGGAGGGCAGGGTCCCTGGTCGTTACCTCCTCTCTGATGAGCGTGAGCACGGCCGTCTTCTCGGCTTCGCTGAGGCAGATGCCATCCAGGGGACTCTCGCTCCTGCTGGTGGCCGCTGCGGGGGACTTGTCCGTGGAGCACAGCCCGGGATTGCCCTGGGGGGGGAAGCACCCAGCCGGGATGCTGCGTGGGTGCTCATTCACCCCGCCTCCCCTCTTTGGGGATGTTCTCCCCTTTTTTATCAGCCTCACCGAATCTCCCTACCTGCCCACCCCGACAGCTCAGAGCCCGGTATCAGAGACACCCTCATGGGGATTTAATGCACTTTCTGCCCAGTCCCTTACTGGGAGCTGGGGCTGCGCTGTAGGACACCCAGGGCTTGCCCCAGGGCTTGCCATCCCAAAGGGGGACCCAGCAGGAGCCCATTTGGGAAGGAGCAGACCCGGCCCTGTGCAGAGGCGTGCTCACGCCTGACCCCCCTTCCCTTTCGCCACGGCTGGTTTGAAACCGTCGCCAGCCTGGAGGATCTCTGCTGACGGCGACCACAGGCCGGGGTCTGTGAGGGTCCGGCTGCCTGTCCCCATCACCTCCTGGTCAGGTGGGGATGTCGCTGCATCCAAATTGCTGCCAGCAGCTGTGGGGACATTGCTGAGCCTTGCCGATCCCCCCGAATGCAGAAGGGAGCTGGCGGGGGGAGCAGGCTTCACCTCCCTGCAGAGCACGGAGGGACCCAGCTCTGAGGCTGCTCCCGCTCCCCATCCCGAGGGACAGCCCCCTCATCCCAGTGCCCTGGCTGTCTGGGAGAGCCCCAAAATGGGAGACACTCATGCAGGGCTCCCGGCACCCTCCTGTCTCCCTTGTCCTACGAGGGACGAGGCGCTGGCACCCCCATCGCTCGCTGCTTCCTCCCCCCGCGCCCAGCTCCTCTCCACCCGTGCTGCAGCCACGGGGACCGAACTGGGGGGCAGAGCCGAGCCCTGTGACCCCGGTGCCAAGTCCTGCCTGGGTGCTGGCCCCATCCCTTCCCTCGGGGGGGGTCCTGC